GCCGCTCCAGTGGCTCACTATGCCGCTCCAGTCGCTCACTACTCCGCCCCCGCAGTAGTCAAGACTGTTGCCCCCGTAGCTCATTATGCTGCCCCGGTGGCTCACTACGCCGCTCCAGCTGCCCATTACGCATCCTATGCCGCTCCCGCAGTCGTCAAATACCACCATTAAAGCCAATGAAATGTTAAAATGTGAATCGAAATGAGTGAATGTGTTATGTATGGAAATAATTTCCATTTGTTATTTAATTCGACATATACATATGTACATTTATTTATTTAACACCACGAATTTATTTAAATAAAAAGAAACCGATAAATTGAAAATAAATCGTTTTTAATATTAGCGCTGCTATTACTTTTTATATTTTGGGATTACAGCACAAAAACAAAGATTAATAATTCAAAATATATTTATTATTTTTCTAACTATACTCTATTATTATAACTCTATCTATACACTTTTACCTGGGTTTTAACTAATTATAGAAGTACTTTTGTTACTTTGATTGATATCCATATGTGTTCTGAGCACATCAACCGCCTCTACTGCTGACGAAAACCGCCTTTTTTGAGCGATTGACAAATTGTTTGGAATCCTAGTTGAAGAATTTGTTTTTAAAATCTAGTGCAACATTGAATGTATGATAGTCTTCCAGAACACTTGATTCCAGATTGCCGAAAGATTTGTAAAAGCAGGCTCTATGCCCTAAGCCATCTACGTGGACAGGGATCACATTACCTCAGTCGCGCCCAGCAAGCTCCTGGAATTGTTCGGAGTGCTATAACGTTGTGACCATATGTGTTATGGGAGAGGGCACAATAACCGTATTGTAGGTGTAAATACCCAATTTTCTATCTATCTACGCAGTTCTAGAAAGATAGGTAGATCTCTCTATCTATGCCGTTCTAACGAATGCCTGTCTCAATACTACGATAAATCACGTGACGTTCTTACGGAACAACAACTGATTTTGGGCGACCTCCACAAAAGACATCTTGGAACGGTCTATTCACCATACCATCGATGAGCACTGGCCCTTGTGCAAGCTTCATTACCAAATATTTAATTAAGTTCTTTATTCCACTTTTGGCTAAGATGAATTTTTTAAGTTACTGTAAATAACACAAATACAATTCGTATGTCAAAACGTGCTGGGTATATGCGATTGATACACTAGTGTTGTCCCGAAATATCAAAGTTAATTTACGTATGCCATAGTGGTCCGACAAATGAGCAGTTCCTGGTCAGAAAAGAACGTTTCCAAATTTCAGACAGATAATTCGAAAACTAAGTGACTAGTTCGAAATAAACAGACAGACGAGCATGAAGTAATCAACTCAGCTCGTCACGCTGATCATTTATATACATATACAGTATTTTAATAGGGCCACCGATGTTTCTTTTTGGCTGTTACAACCCCTTCATCAGGTGAAGCAACTATTCGTTACTTACTAAATTTCAGGCAGACGATATGGGCACCGTAGATGATCGCGACAAGAGAGGCTACAACAGACAAAAATGTGAAAAAACTAAACAAAATTATTTTGAAGATGGGTTTCCTTGGGTAAAAACTTAACTTGGACGAAGGTAAAAAACACTGAAAATTGGATTTTTGGCACTTTGACATTAAAAAAAATTATAATGTTTTTTTTTTCAAATAATTGTAATCGCAAACATCCTTCGTCCAAGTCTTCAAAAATTGTAGCTTAAGGACCCGTGTAAAGCATCATGGAAATGGGTTGAGAAGTTCTCGAGAAATTTTGCCAACCGACTTCAAAAATTCAGTTTCGAGAAAAAAGCGTTTGAGGACCTCGCACTTAACTTATCTAACCTCTCAAGGCTGTATCTCCGTCACTATTACTCGGATCAACCCTAGAGGTGTTGTAGAAGTTAATAAGAAAATAAAAAAATTGATATTTGAAACCCGTAAACTCATGTGACCCCTTAAATAATGAATTGATATTCAACTTATGTAATTTTCATTTACAATGGGATTTTAACAACACCTGCTATCTCACATTCTTCCAAGGTTCAAAATTGGGCAAAAGCAATTTTAGTCCCTTCATTACTTTTATATCTTCAATCAATATGTTTTTCCGCGTAAGCCGAAAATTAAGACTTCGGGGCCCTACGTTCACTACATTAACATCTCACATATTTCAAATACTTTACACTCCTCAAATTTTTGAAGTTTGCGAAATTTTGTGGTGTGTGGTGAAATATGTGGCTCCGTTCAAATTTTACCCTTCAATATTTATTATAAATTTAACCGTTACTAATTGTAGCAGTATCAAACTGAACTACTTCAAACCATTTAAATACATCTACACATGTTCGTATGTAGATATGTATTTAATTATGAGTCAGGCATAAACTAATTCATATTTATAATATTTTCGCACGTCATTAACTTTGTGTGCGAAACTTTGTAAATTTGTATCAAGCGTGCTAAATGCTTTGATAAAGTAAGCTGGCCTGTCAAGTCACAATTATATTATTTTCGCTCTAATAAAAAACACGGAGAGGTGTAGTATAAAACAGACGACAAACTCTTGTTTTCTATCATTCACTTCTTGCATTCCTTGTGACAAAGAACCAACCACACTTCTCAAAAATGGCATTCAAGGTAATTTTAGCAACTGTTGGAGATTAAAGCAACCTGATCCAATTGCTGCCAATAACATTAAATTTAATTTTTTCCTTTCCAGTTTGTATTCGCACTCGCTTTCGTCACCGTTGCCAACGCTGGCTATGTGCCCGTTGCTCCAGTCTACCATGCCGCACCAGCCGTCGCCGTGCACGCAACACCTGTGGCCGTAGCTCAAAAGGTTGTTGTGAAATCGGAGGAGTATGATCCTCATCCTCAATACAAATTCTCTTATGGCGTCGATGACAAACTCACCGGTGATTCCAAGAGCCAAGTGGAGGAACGTGATGGTGATGTNTAAATGAAATTATCTTCAAAAAGTAAATGTCATGAACCAATCTAACGTTTCAAATAAAGAACCGATGAGATTTTGCAAATTTTATGCGTTTTTTTTTTTTAAAAAAGTTATCAAGCTCTTAAAAAATCACCCGATATAATTAAAAATGTGTGCGTAAATATGTTCGTTGCAGTTTGATGTAGCGGCAATCCTGCAGTGAAATAAATTAGTTTTAAATGATTTTATATTAATAACAACTGTGCGCCTAACTAGCCAACTGACGTTCTTCTATACTTTAACACAGCTGGTTTTTTTGTACAGTGATGCGCTGTGGGACACTAAGCACTTATTGAATACAAAAATTTTGATTTCGGTGAAAAATTTACCCATAGAACAAACAAAAATTTTGGAGGCCCAGAAACAGCCTTTCAGGCTATGACCTTGCTGGCGGTACTGGATCAAGGTTACACTTAATCCAATGCCTGCAGAAAACGGTATTTAATAAATAATGTCTGTCTGTCGTAATATATGCAAATTAGTCCCTCAGTTTTGGAGACATTGTTCTGCAAATTGCGAAATTTCGATTTACACTGATGGAATAATGTTTCTAGCGGAAAAATGGCAAAAAGTGATCTGCAAAAATGGTACATATTTGTTTATTTATTAATAGTATAAATAAAGAAAAGTAAGTTGAAATTTGAGTAGAAATACGAAAAGACTTTTTCGACTAACCAATATATCGGTTATTTTTGATAGAGAAAGCTTAAGATGTTATGCAATCTTTCTGGGTTCAAGATATTTCTTCAAGAAATTTTCTATAAGTTATTATTTAAGGCAATCTACGAAGAAATCGGATAAATGTTATATAGCTGCCACACAAATCGAACGACAAAATCAAGTTATTGATAACACTGTGGAACATTTTTGGGATTATTGTCTGGGAGGTGAGAAATTTCAATTGTGTCAGTTTTTTTTATGACCTTATGACTCGCTATATTTCGCTTAGTTGTAACATTTTGGCAAAAACAAAACAACAAAAAAAAACATTTTCCGAGAATGCTCTAAACATCCTTGCGACAGCAACATCGTAGTTGTGAGAACGATGCTTTCCCAACAAGCCTTCTATTACTTCTTTGATTGCCTGCCATGCATTCAATATATATCAATCCAAATATTGTTGAATGCGTCACTTTTAATCAGCTTCGTATATTTGGAGCATTTAGTACGCCTGATTAGAAAAAATTAATTTGTTAAGAAAACCATGGGAAATAAGGAAACAATTTAGAAGGTCATAAAAAAAACTGACACACACGAACGCCAAATTCTTTGAGGGTTTTACTATCCTGACCTAGTACCATCACCCTGACTTGGAATTTCTCACCCCTCCGAGTAGCTGTTGTACTGTGTAATGAATATTTTGTATTTGTGGTATTATAATTTCGGTGCACCCGAAGATTACGCTTTTTCTTATTTTAATTTGCTAATATTATTTGCTAATATTTCACTTTCTCGTATTCATATTTAAAAAAGCGTTACTTATACATATATACATGTATACATACGTGCACATCTCCAGATTTACGTATGTATGTGTTTAATTTGAATGGCATAAGTTTCAACTTATTAGCTCTAAGTAGCTTCGACATATGGAAAAAGAGAGTATATTAGCCCTTTAACTAACTGCAGCTGAACAGGTTTTAGCAAATGAAATATGTAGATTACAGAGCAAAAAACTCACACCAAATTTTCAAGACCAAATCAAAGCGTTGCACTACTATAAAAGTGTCAGCAAATTGACGGATATGTATCATTCACTTCTTGTCTTCGCATTCGCAAAGAACTGAACTAATAATCACGATATGGCTTTCAAGGTAAGTTCAAACACAAAACCGTTAAGCAGCGGGATCTCAATATATATAAAATATGTTTGTACAGCGTTAATAATCCAATTTGCTTTTACAGTTTGTATTCGCACTCGCCTTTGTCGCCGCGGCCAGCGCTGGCTATATACCCGCTGCTCCAGTATACCACGCCGCACCAGCCGTCGCCGTGCACGCAGCACCTGTGGCCGTAGCCCAAAAGGTTGTTGTGAAATCGGAAGAATATGATCCTCATCCTCAATACAAATTCTCTTATGGCGTCGATGACAAACTCACCGGTGATTCCAAGAGCCAAGTGGAGGAACGTGATGGTGATGTGGTCCATGGTGAATACTCCCTCATTGACGCTGATGGTTACAAACGCACTGTTCAGTACTCTGCTGATCCCATTAATGGCTTCAATGCCGTCGTGAACCGTGAACCTCTTGTCAAAGCTGTTGCCGTCGCTGCAGTTGTAAAGACCGTTGCTCCAGTTGCTCACTACGCCGCTCCAGTGGCTCACTATGCCGCTCCAGTGGCTCACTATGCCGCTCCAGTCGCTCACTACTCCGCCCCCGCAGTAGTCAAGACTGTTGCCCCCGTAGCTCATTATGCTGCCCCGGTGGCTCACTACGCCGCACCAGCTGCCCATTACACTTCTTATGCCGCTCCAGCAGTCAATTACCATCACTAAGGACTAGTCTTCGAATATTAACCATTGAAATCAATAATTGTGAATGTTTCTGTTTTTGTTATTAATAAATGTTGTTTATATCGATTAAAATTTCAATTTAATAAATGATGTAATATAAATTAATATTTTATTTCATTCACTTTGTTAATTTTATTTTAAGTACGCTAAGATAAGAGACTGATCAATGTCAAACACTTACATATATAGCAAGGGGCTAATATCATGTTCAGTCTACGAAGAAAGCTGCACATTATGTTTCCACCTCACTTTCCTCCATAAAACTTTTGTCGTCCGTCAAGATTTTTGTGCTCACCATATATGCCTACTGGTCAATGAGAGCTACAATTCCTTAACGCGAATCACCATAATCCACAAAAAAAACTTTAAGTTAGATAGGCTCCGAGATATGGACGTAAATTTGATTGAAATTTACCTTCTATGCCATTATATATCTCACACATTGACCGATATTTGTGGTATAAAGTCAACTCTGGTCGAAATAATCGGTATCTAGGGGCTTTAACACTTTCTATTGGATTTGAACAATTTATGGTCATATTTTGGCAAGCACTAAAGGCATTATTCGTGCAAAACGTATCCCGTTATATCAATTGATTCTTGATTTGTACACTGGTCGGAGTCCAATTTCATTCATAAAAATATTTTACGTACCGAATTTGATTTTAATCGGTCGAGCAGGTCCTGGGATGTGTGGGTTTAGTGAGTGGTGCTACGCCCATTGTCCAATTTTTACTTACCGGCTTTCTCATACCATCGCGGAGGTAAAATGTAATTTCTCTGGCGTATTTTCGTTATAAAGGGAGTGGGCGGGATTATCATCCGATTGCATCCATTTTCAAGCTGTCGGTAATAGTTCTTATAAGAACTGTAGTAAGAGAAGATTGGCTATTTTAGCTGTAGTAGACTAGGATATTATATAATATATCTTATTTAGTAGTGAATTATTGCGCTTTATATTAGGTTTTAGGTATATGTATATCTCACAGAACACTTACGCTATACCTCTTAGCCAAAATGGGATTTAGCGCGGAATATAACGAAATTAGTGTAGGCTCTTGATATAACACCTACATATACATACATATATACTATATATATAAATCTGATCTAATAATTTGCGTAGAGATAGGACATATTCGTACAGTGCAAATTGTTGAAGGTTTTGAGTGAAAAGAGATTAACCATCGAAGGCACACAACCATTTCGTGAAGTTTTGTAATTCGATCTTAAAATATTATACTTACATGAATTTTAATATCAATCTATGGCAGGACTCCCTGTTGATTAGCATATGGATTAACCGATCGTTCATTAGATGGGATAGTATTTAGAAATGGGTTCTTGCATGATATGATCTCCGTCTTAAAATATCACGCTTAGTATAATTTTAGACGCAATTATAAGATATAATAATTTCTACTATTCCCTTTTCAGGAATTTCATTGTAGCATATTTGTCGTAAATATCTTACAGGGTCCAGCACTCGAAGTGTAAACAACTTCAGACTGTTCGCGCAGCTGTCGCACTGAAATCAGCTGTTCATAAATTTGCTGAATGGCAGTCCAGAGTATTTTTCACAAGTGTACAAAATCGTTTTGCCACAAGTGAACGCAAAAAAAGTGATCAGCGATGGAATTGAAACGTAATAGTGTGATTGATTTATCTTTAACTGGATAATCACAGCTAGCAATTATTCGTGAGCTCAAACAACTTAATGTGATACTACAATGGTACTGGTAGCATCGCAAAACGCCATGGAGATGGTCATCAAAATACTGCAACGTCACGTGAGATGGTTCGGAAAGTGAAGAAGCGACTTGAGCGAAATCCACGACGAAGTGCCAATCAAATGGCTACAAAACTGTAAATATCCGATCGCAGCATTCGACGCAAATTGAAAAATGAGCTCAAGGTCAAGCCTTACAAGTTCCAAAAGGCCCATGATCTCACACTGAAGAAGTAACAAGTAAGACTTGAGAGAGCGAAGCAGTTTAATTTGCATACATTGTGTTTTCTGACGAAAAAATTTTTTCTAATTGAGCAATTCGTAAACTCTCAAAACGATAGGGTTTACTTGACCGACCGTTCATACGAGAATCTAAGTCATCAGTTGGTTCATACGAGAATCTAAGTAATGGTTTGGGCCGCTGTCACTCTTCAATCGTTTTCATCGAGCCTGGCGTCAAAGTAAATGCGACATATTATCGGGAAAGTGTTCTGGAGGCTTCTCTATGGAAGCCAAACAAATATTTTGGTCGCAAACCATGGACATTTTAACAAGACTCAGCACCGTGTCACAAATCGCGTGTGAACCAAGAATGACTGAAAAACAACGTTCCCAATTTCATTACGACCACACAAAGGCTCTCGAATTCACCAGTTATCTCTCTGGGCCATTTTGGAGAGCAAGGTCCGAAGTAAAAAATACACCAGTCTCGAGATGCTGCAGAAAGGGATTGTCCGTGAGTGGGCCAAAATACCGGCAAGTCACATTCGGGCAGCTTGCGATTCGTTTTTGGCCGTCTCAACGCCATAGTTAAGGCGAATGGTGGTCATATCGAGCAAAAATTAATTGGTCTTGAATTAATGATTATTTTTACACATTTTGTATTTTAAAATAAATAAAAATAATTTGCCAAACCGAATTTATGGCTTTTTTAATTGTAGTATCCGTGCTTACAAAATTTTAATGATCTAAAAATTTAAGGATATAATCTTCAAACTATTGAATTAGATAAAAAAAATCACAGGGTTACTGAAGCAGGCCCTGTCCTATTTTTAATTGGTATGCCTTCTTTGGAGCACTTTTATTGCCGAACGTTTATTATCACTTTTACGTACACAAGACTACATACATACATATATACATATGAACTATCTATATGGTTCATTTAAGATAAGTGTGTATACAGATTTGTGCACTACACGCGCACTACCAGCAACGCTACCATACCATACTTTTTGGCGAAACCGCTTTGATAAGCTCATTGGTGCTGCAAGCGAACGCTCACTTTTTGTTTCTAAGCGCGCTAATAGAGTGAACTGACCTGTCAAGGTACTACAGCCTGCGTATTTCAGTATATGTACATACATACATACCATAGAAGTACATATGTATATATGTAATATCAAATCCAAAAGGTATGATTATTTTTTATGAATACTAAGGAAATTCCTTAACAGTTGAGTAGTATAAAATTGGCCGCAAATTCATATTTGATATCATTCACTTCGTTTAATCCCTACAACACAGAACTACTTTACTCCTTACGAAACCACATTTTAAAAATATGGCACTCAAGGTAGAAAGATGGAAATAGCACAACTAACAATTTCTTACTAATAGCCAATTCTATTTTAATCTTTTCAGTTTGTATTCGCACTTGCCTGCGTCGCCGTGGCCAGCGCTGGCTATGTACCCGTTGCTCCAGTATACCACGCTGCACCAGCCGTCGCCGTGCACTCAGCACCTGTTGCCGTAGCACCTCAAAAGTTTGTGGTGAAATCGGAAGAATACGATCCTCATCCTCAATACAAATTCTCTTATGGCGTCGATGACAAACTCACCGGTGATTCCAAGAGCCAAGTAGAGGAACGTGATGGTGATGTGGTCCATGGTGAATACTCCCTCATTGATGCCGACGGTTACAAACGCACCGTTCAATACACTTCAGACGCCGTCAATGGCTTCAACGCCGTCGTAAACCGTGAACCCCTCGTAAAGGCTGTTGCCGTCGCTCCAGTTGTAAAGACTGTTGCCCCAGTTGCTCACTACGCTGCTCCAGTTGCTCACTATGCCGCTCCAGTCTCTCACTACTCAGCCCCTGCTGTGGTCAAGACCGTTGCTGCCCATTATGCTGCACCCGTGGCTCACTATGCCACTCCTGCTGCCCATTACGCATCCTATGCCGCCCCCGCTGTCGTCAAATACCATCATTAAAACCTGTAAAAATTGTGATAATCTAAATCATTGTATGAATGAAATGAATATACCCACGAGTATATACTTATTTATATCAATGATGCAGATGAGTTAATAAAAGTTTTATTATGTCTAAATACGAATATAATTTATTTTAACTTTAATGTGTTATTTGTAAATTACAAGTGCTTATATGATGAGACCATGATAAGCTCTTCATATTCTGTGTTTAGCCGAAAAAATTCAGAAGTTCCATTCAATGATTCCTAGAAAAGCTTATTCTGCTGCAGATGAGGAAATAATACTCATAAAACTGAGCGAAGTATTTTAGCAGTACTATCCATTCTAACTCAAGGATCGTAGTTGAGGCTACAAAAATTAAGTATAAGAACAATAGGAAGTTTGAGTTCTGATATGAAATTGACAGATGAATAAAGCAACAAGATTTTGTTAGGAACCTGTTGTCCAAGTATGTCCTAGTATCCAATAATGGAGGTAGAGTAACACAAAAATCCCGAACTATCCATCGACAACTCACAGGGCAGTTAACAGACGATGGCTATCAGATTTCTGCAGTTACCGACTGAAACAAAAAAAAGTGTGCTGTTTTTTTTTTTATCGATGGCAATCGAAAAGCCGTTGCTCTGCCTCGTGTCGTGATAGTCGATGAAACATGAATCCACTATTGCAGTCCCGAGACCAAGAGACTTCAAGGAAAAGTTGAGACACTGAATTCAAAAGATGTGATCTATATCGATTCTCTGAAGAAGGCCAAATAACAAAAAAATCCTTTGGCGCAAAAATTGTTCTTCTCTTATGACATTGCCCTGTTGTTGTTGTTAACGTAACTGTCCAACGGTACTCCCGGAAAACGTGCTGTTTCGACGGGAGCGGAACATTGAGAGAGGATAATCAGATGTTTAGGGTTAGCATAGTATGCAAAGGGTTGGCTAATGTCATGCCGGGACTCATTGCGCGTTGGGACAATTCCCACAACCGTCAGTTCAACATTATCAGAATTGACCCGGATTTAAACCGGCCAAGGGCTTTGGGAGATCTAATCTTGTTTGGGTCGGTAAGTTTTAGATTAGACAACGAACCGTCTCACATTCCCGTCGTTGTGATGGTCGAATTAAGCTACGAACTAATCCACCGTATTATTTAGTTTTGACTTTCTGGCAAGAGGTAGATTCCAAAGTATACATATAATATGTAATATCAAAATGTGGTTTAAAAAGATTTTACAAAAACTATGTCGATTCAGTTAACATAGATGTTCAGAGAGTTCAGAGGCAATATCTTTGTTTCGAAAGTTAGCTGCTGAATTCTTCGGATAATGATTTCTAAAACATTTAATGAATCCATTTGATACCCCAGAAGGAAACGTGCAAGATATATACATACATGATCAGCATAACGAGCTGAGTCTATTAGGCATGTCCGTCTCTTTGTATGTACGTGAAGTTGTTCCAAAATTTTTGAGACATCGGTTTGAAACTTTACACACTTCCTTGTACGGAAAACTTTTTTTGAAAAAGTATTTTCCGGAAATTTATCGAAGATTATTATATAAAGCAGCGGTACAATGAACGTAGAGAATTGTTTAGATCGAATTGCTACTTCTTCTTCTTTAGTGGCGTAGACACAGCTTACGCGGTTATAGTCGAGTTTACAACAGGGCGCCAGTCGTTGTTCTTTTTCTCTGTTTGGCGCCAATTGGAGATTCCAAGTGTAGCCAAGTCCTTCCCCGTCTGGTATTTCCAACGAACTGGAGGTTTTCGTCATCTTCTGCTCTCTCAGAGGTGGTGTGTTTTCATCTATTGAGATGACATGACGTCGTCGTATATCTCAAACTGCCCATCGTTCCATCGACTGCAGTATTCGCCATTGCTAAGAACCATTCTCTCGAAAACTCGTAACGCCGACTCATTAGATGTTGTCATCGTCCATGCCTCTGCACCAAATAGCAGGACGGGGATGACGAGTGACCTGTAGGGTTTGACCTTTGTGCGTCGAGAGAGGACTTTATTTCTCAATTGCTTACTCAGTCCGATGCAGCGCCTGTTGGCAAGCGTTATCCGGATACTGTACGCCGAATGTTATTATTCAAATAACGCCCTACTCGCTTAATCCAATTAATCCGGCTAGTTGATTAGTCGAATACCAAAAGTTGTAATTGAAACTACCCTTAGGGGTCACAATCACTTTTGAATATTTCTCTTCCCGGGCATTCTTCAATTAAAGCTAGACGACCTTCTCATACAATTTCAAATAAGTCAACGATTTGAACTACCTTTTTTTTCACTTAAACCGGCCAAGACATTTTATTATAGTACACACTACGGTGGTTCAATTAATTGTGTCATATTTAGGAGTGTGAGTGAAAAAGTTGAATGCTTTTATCTACGAGCATTATATATGTATGTAACACATATTTGTGTGTACATATGTCAATGCTAATATTCATTTATACTATCCAAGTAAAAAGGAAACTCTTGTCTAATATCTGAAGGGTTGTACAGTATATATAAATCTGCGAGCTATTAGTTTGTATCATTCACTACTTGCGTTCGCTGTAAGAAAGAACCTGTCTTGAAGTTAAGAAACCATACAACATATTTTCAAAAATGGCATTCAAGGTAAATTAGCACACGCCTGAGACTAAAATAACCTGATCTAATTATTTGTCAATTGTCAATTTTCACACAATTTGTTTCTTTGCAGTTTGTATTCGCACTCGCTTTCGTCGCCGCGGCCAGCGCTGGCTATGTACCCGTTGCTCCCGTCTACCATGCCGCACCAGCCGTCGCCGTGCACGCAGCACCTGTGGCYGTAGCCCAAAAGGTTGTTGTGAAGTCGGAGGAATATGATCCCCATCCTCAATACAAATACTCTTATGGCGTCGATGACAAACTCACCGGTGATTCCAAGAGCCAAGTGGAGGAACGTGATGGTGATGTGGTCCATGGTGAATACTCCCTCATTG